GGGTGAAAATGGGTGACGTGACCACCGGGCCACCACCACCACCTTGTTACCCTAAGAAAGAATCACATTAAGAATAATAATTCTTATTGATACGTGGGTCCTTGGCTACTGGAACCATGTGCTATGAAACAAGTGTTTGGTTCAGTTGGGCGACATCACTTTTAGAACATTATTTCAACGTTTCACACCTGACCAATTAAGTCTGATTATTGGTTTATTACACATGATGTGATTTACAGGAAAAGGGGTAAATAGTATGGGCAGAGAGAGATTTTAAATCAGAGTTCGTGAGAAAAAATCGGGATAAGAACCCTTCTATGGACGCTGCTTTGGATAGAGGAAGATGGTACATAGTTGTACGCCCGAACAGGGGAGGAATGTTTCACAGTTCGGCAGTCCTAGGAAAAAGAAGATCGAACGGAGGAATTTCGACATCCGAAGAGAGCGAGACCTGATAAGTTTGACTACCATCCCACGAACGTGAATGCTTGGATTAGCTCATTCCGTTTCTCACAGGTGCCAGGCACTGTTGATGACGAGTGCTGGTGAGTCCAAATAGGACGCAACCGCTGTACAGTGCTTTTTGTCGGTCTTCACATAGATTTCCATCGCATTTATAAACTGAGGTCTGTTCACGATTTATTAGGACTGCATGATACCCTTTTTAATATCGCTGCTCGAACAATGCGTAAGGAACAGAAAGATTCTCCTCTGAAAAACTACTCCCTACTTTTCTATAACTGACTGTATTTTCACCGTAAACAGCTCCGGTTGCCATTCATGCAACACCGGAGCCAACTACCGTGGTTGAAGGAGAGTCCGCTGTCCTCACCTGCACAGCAACTGGATCACCTGGTCTTCACCTGGCATGGAAACCGAAGGTGAGTACGATAACTAGACCGAAAATAGTTTTTCGTCCAATTATGTCCCGCCTTCCCATTTTTGATGAATGAATTCAATCTGTCGATGGGCTTTGCAATCCAATCATTACCCTCCCCATAATCTCATATAAAACCAATAGAAATTTGAGATAGCTAATTTTGTGTGATTCACATTTTCATTATTGATAGCTTGGGCTATTCAATCAATGACACCAACATGTGTGCATTTTCAACTAGAGCTGAGCTGAGGAAACCTTGGTGGAATTCGGAGATCGTTTTAATTCATGTTACGTCAGAAAGATTAATTTTTTATTGTATGATATTTAACACGACTTTTGCATTTCAGTCGGAAACTCGCATCAACCGCATATCAGAGTGGAAAGTGACAGAATTAGACTAATCTAAACACCAAACCGAATAAGACAGTTTCACATTTGAAAGTTGGCTTATCATTCCGTCCATAGGTGCATGAACAAAGAAGGAACCACAGAGGTTCTATGCGACTTTGTTTCCACTCAGAATGTACAAAACTGAGATCGGAATTGGACGTCAGCAATTTCCGTCTACAAAGAAGAATGTTTATAGGAAATTTCTTGCAACCGCTATGGTGAAAATCATAAACTAACATTGCCAAGGAGATGTCGGATGAACTGCCATACAGCAACACGGTGTTTTGAAATCTTATTATGTAATCCAGGACAATTTATGAGGAAATTATGAAAGATTTTTGGGGTGCACTGGTAGACAAAGAAAACAGTGATCAACTAAAATGATACTGTGGATTTTTTACGAATCACAGAAGATACTCGGCGTATTGGGAAACACTATATGTGACATATCCCAGTGAAAGAGTCCTCTTGCGTAACAGCAGTATTTTAAGAGAGACGGAAGGACAGCTGGGTTGCGCGGAAACGCAGGGTGGTTAGAAAGAAAGTGCAGTCAGAGTACTTAAAAGGATTAAGCAAAAGACAACGGTCTGATGGCAATGTATGAGTAAGAGCAAGGTTATCTAAAGGACCGCCAGTCTGAATGCAACTTAATACCTTAACACAAAGCGACACTGTCAGCACACTTGAGAACAGAGCGTTTAGTGTTTGAAGGAAGATCACCATAGTTAAGCAGTTATGACAACCGATCAAATAATCACTTATAATCGTAATAGTAAGCTATTAACCCCAGTTAGGGACCCAGTCGAACTGCTCATTGTCATACAGATGATGATATGACTAAGTTTGGTAAACGGAAAGACAGTTGGTATACAGGTGTTGACCGAACTCATCACTCTCATCTTGAAAATTCATTTCAGTTTCCAATCTCATAGGAGTATATCGATAGCTATAGATGAATAGTATTTAGTCGGAACTTTATCTCCCACTACAAAGTTTTTAGTCCTCTTGTATCACCGTTTGAATTTGCCTGACCTTTGTTGTCACGATAAAATTTTAGTAATTCGAAAGTTTGGGTGCAGATGTGTTGCTTATGATGTGGGGCAATAGCATATTCAAGCCCGTGATTGAGGCTCGAAACACCAAGCGTTAGGAGCAACAAATGTGATGCAATTAAGAGTGTTGCACGAGTTTGGTCAATACCTGCACATACCAACAATTGCAGCTGTTTCCTAGGAACGAAGTCAGCCATTGCTGATTTCCCGTTGAGCTTGTACTTAAATAAATGAATAGATAGATAAATAGCTAGAGTGGTATAATAAATAAAGGTTTATTTCTTACCAGCTGCAGCATTAACTCAACCAAATATACGTATATATGTATATATATTCTGGCATGAGTTTCAAAAGTTTTCTTCAAAAGGCCAAAGCACTACGAGGGGTTATCTCTCTTGAGGAAAGGGCAAGTGATTTCTGAACTGTATTCTGACAACTGCATCTAACTTGTCAACAAAAGCTTCCTCTGCTATGTCGTAGCGTTATGTGGTGTTCCTTTACCCAAGCTGATAGGTTCTGTTGCAGCATGTGTCAGTATGTATGCATCAGAAGGTGCATAGCTGGTTACAGAAACAGTTGAATTTGCATAGTTAATGCAATTCAATTTTTCTTACCTCAATCTTACAGCCATATATAGACACATCGGATAGAAGCAGCTCTCAGCGAGTCGATGCAGATCGTTGCCAGACCATACGATTCACTGCTCGCTTCTTTTGAAGAGGGGAACACGTTGTGATCAGTGTCATCAGCAGTATTATTTAGTTATCTATGTTTCTGTATGGTAACGGGAAACGGCCTTTGCTGATTTCTGCTTTGCCACCAATATTCCTGTTTTCAAGCAGGTGATATAACGGACTGATAGACACCTCAAAAGTTACCTACCGCAAGGTATCGGTCAATCGTCCAAAGTTTATTTGAGGAAGCAGGCATTTAACGCGCGGATATGCTGACCAGGCTTTTAGTCTTTCGGCATTGATAACCTATCGAACCTATACCGTTGTGACAGTCCTTGTAATTAGAGGAACATTCAGTCGTTTTATTCACGTGGCTCTATGGAGCTATTTGCGTTGGAGAAGTGTCCCGGATATATACATCACACTCATGGGGTGATATCGAAAAATGGCTATCCCACTGAGACTAGATGAATAGAAATCATTAACTTTTCCCATCGTCAGTGACTTCCTTCTTAGATAGTACACATCATCATGCCTACTCTCTTTCACCATCGATGATGTCGCAGATTCTACAGTTTGGGGATATGACAGCGAGGAACTGGAATTAATGCCGATAAATGAACCATAAGGTGCCTTGGATAAGCCACACGCCGCTTCTTTATAACCGTCCCATGATGTTCACATAATGTGTTATCCAAGTTACCACTTATCACATGTCCCGCATATTCAGAAAGCTAACACTGTTAATTCTCGGCTCCTTTAATGGTGGTGACTTGTTGAAACCAATATAGAAACTTATGCATTCCATTTTTTACTTCCTTTTATTAAAAAATATAATTGCGCAGTTGCCAGGAAGGAGGTAGCGGTCAATCAAAGGGCTGACATACAGTACACAGTCAGACGGCGGCGGTGGTGGAATTCGAACACACGTCCCCCGGGGTGATGATTTGGTGACATTGCCATCGGGCCACCACTGCTAGAAGTAGAGAGCACATCTAGTTTATTGTAATTTAGACTGAGTGGCGAAGAAAATGTGATCTTCTTTATTGCCTCAAACATACTTGCAAAGGAGCACTACAAGTATCGGGATAATGATGCAAGAAACATGATAATTTATTGTTTTCCGATAAAAGCAATCCTGCCAAACGAGATTATCATGAAGTTCTATTTCAGTTTCGTGTAATCAAGGTTATGCTAACAAAAGCGGTGCCACACGGAATCTCTCACGTTGTGTGCTGTTTTACTTGTATGCAAATTATACCGCAATGTAAGAGGGATACTGTTTAATTTAAAGAAGGAGCGTAGTGTTTTTCCTCGGGCAATATTGGCTTCGTTCGTCATACTCTCCGCCCACCACTTTGAGTTGTCTAAAAGCTTTAATTGTTTTCTTATCGATGGAATCTTTTATCTGGTTTACCCCACTCATCCTACTTGAAAAATGTGCTAAAACAGTTTAAATTAAGAAATACATTTTTATTCTATCCCCATTTTCTTTTTTAGTTAATAGCGTGCCTCACACAACTCATAATTGATTTGTTTCACTGTGTCAATTTTATTTTCTAGGTGCATGTTTATGAAACGTTTGTTCAGTCTGTCACCATATGCATAATGGCCATAGAATATGCTTTTGACAAACGTCCCCCCACCCTGGAAAGTGTGTCATGTCGTATCAGAATTTTCATTCTTGTCAAGTCAATCTGGTTCCGAGTAGTTGTTTGATGCGAAAATGAGAGAAAACTAAACCACATCTCAAATTAAACTGATTGTCATCAGCAAAACAAACTGGGCATTTCTTCTCAATACCTGCTATCGCGAACTTCTACTTCGAATTCTTCACGGAATCTTCATACCATACATGGATCGATTTGTAAACGTGAGAGATATCTTATTCTCCATTCTGATCAGAAAACTACTCGGTCTGTCAGGGTTGAGTAGCATTCGACCTTCCTCAATCTTTCACCCCAAATAATCCTCTACTTTTCTAATGGGGCTTCGGTCTGATGAACCCGCTGTCTATGACAACATCCTTTAACGAAGATTTGTTTTATTTAATGCAAAGTGGAATTGATATCTTTTAGTAGATAGTGTTTATTCGATTGCGGATGCAATTAATAAAATATGCTCCCTCCCTGAATACGATAATATTCTTCAACACAAACATTTCGTTCAAAGATGATAAAGTAGCTTCTTTCTTTTAGCCACGTTGTACCTCACATCCTCTTTCCTCGCAATGGACAGCAGTGCATCGTTTTAACAATTTTTACTCTTTCATTCTGCCCACTTTGAGTTGTCCATCAAGGTAGCTTGAGGTAAACTGTGATGTGTAAGTTCCAACAATACGATGCCAGTGAAGCCTGGCTTTCGTGTGCGATTCGGCTGAAAAAGTTCAAGCTCCGGTCCCTGGGATCTCACTCCATCTTTATTCGTTTGAGAGAGAAAACCAAAAAATCAACAATTTTCAGTTGACGACGTTTCGACCTTCTTGGAAGGCCTTCTTCAAGTCAAATAACAGGTGAACATGAAACGAAAATTGTAAGCGAAACCGTATCAAATGGAGGTGCTTTTGAAAGAAAAATTGAGTTGTTTTGTGTGTGGTAATAAATGTGAGCATGGAAGTTGTGCCTAAAAGAAGAGGTCAAAGAACTAAGGATGACGTCACAGGAGAAGAGAGATTAGTCTGTGAGCAGTATTGTGGTATGGAGAAATTTAATGTTGTGTGTCAGTATGCATGGGTGTCTGTGTG